CTGGTGCTCTACCGGCAGGTTGTTCCCACTCAATCTGTAGGATGCCCTCCACCAAACGGAGTGTCTTTAACTTTGTCCACCAGAACTTGGTGCCTCGTCAAGCGCGGCGACGTCACGCCAACCGGGTCAGGGATTCTCTTCTGGCAACCACTGCATGACCGTCCGGAGCTCAGGGTGGTTCTGCTGTTCCTTTCCCAGTTCTTCTCTGTCCCAGATTTCAGTGAGCCCGTCCGGTGTAACAGGATCATTCTCTTCCCTTTCATCGTCTGGTTCCTCCCGCCTTTGCACGGCTCCCTCCAGGGACGTCTCTCTTTGTGCTCCTCCAGCGATAGAGGATTCTTGTTCCTACAAGTCAGATTCTTGGTTGGTAGAAGGAACATCACCCGTGCAGCACTCTTGGGCCCCAAGGAGACAGCGTTAGCGTTGATGTGCTTCTTTCCGGCTCGATGCTCGATGTCGAGCTCGTAGCACCCAAGCCTCTGGATCCAGCTTGCCGTCTGCCCTTCTGGCTCACGGAACTGGAACAGCCGTCTTAGGGACCTGTGGTCGGTTTTGAGGTAAAACCGCTTGCCAAAGAGGTAGTGCTTGAAGTAGTGTACGAAGTGGTCTACGAAGTGGCTCCAAAGGTACAGTGGCTGGCGTCAGTGTCCAAGATGTAGCGATGCTCGGTACAAGGGTAGCACAACACCGGAGCTATAGTAAGTCTATCCTTAAGGTGCTAAAATGCCGACTGACAATTGTCTGTCCAGAAAAAGCCCCTTTGATCTTTGTTGGTAAGAGCATGCAGGGGACGAGCGATGTCGGGAAAACCTGAGATGAACCACCGGTAATAGGACGCCAGTCCCACGAAGCTCCAAACTTGTGTCAAATGTGCCGGCCAGAGCCAACTCCTGTTGACTTCCACTTGATCTGGGTCCGTCCTAAGTCCCGCTGTCTACACCCGGTGTCCAAGGAAGGACACTTGCGTCTTCAACAAATTGCACTTCCTGGGTTTTGGTTTCAGGCCAGAAGCGCGAAATCGCTCAAGGACCTAGGCCAATCTCTTATAGTGTTTCTCGAAGTGCACTCCCCACACGATCACGTCGTTCAAGTACCTGCCATTTGGGTCCCAACTGAACTTTCTCAATCAGACGCTCGAATGTCACCGGAGCATTACATAGCCCGAAAGGCATCACCGTAAACTGGTACAGCCCACTGTGAATACCAAAGGCGGTCTTCTACCGATCCCTTCCATCTATGCTCACTTGCCAGTAGCCACTGGCGAGGTCGAGTGGGCTGAGCCATCTCGCCCCACTAAGGTCATATATAAGGACATCCAGATTATCCTTTATTACCCTTTTGAAGCATCTTTTCCACCTGCTTCTCTGCCTCCTTCCGTTTGTGGATTGGTAACCTCCTAGGCGCCTGCCGTATGTGTGTTGCTGGCCCCGTGTCGATTCTATGTATGGTCAGTGCCGTCTTACCAAGCCGACCATCTGGGTATGTAAATTCCTCGGCGAAATCCGTTATTCAGGTTCAACAGCTGTGCTCACTCGGAACGATCCAAGTTAACGGCCCCTCTGTCCAGTAGATCCTGTAAATGGCTAGGCACTACTCTTTTGTGAGCATTATCTGTGTCATTTGCGACCGAAGAGAGGTGATTCACGCTTACGATGATCTTCCTCTGGCTCAAATATGTGTCCGTCGTCAGAAGGTGAAAACAATGCCAGGTGGTTTCCCTTGTAAATTGTCACCGGGTCAGACGTTTTCTAACGTGCAAGGTTCCATTCCTGGTGTCAACGAAGCCTGTCGAAACTGCCTCCTTGCAATCGTCAGTGGACTTTAGATTCGAATATTCGAATGTACCATTCCGATCCCCATCTGCTGTCTTGCATTTACCTCTCCTCCAATGATTACCTCGTGGCCCGGCTGGCCACGAGGCATTTCCCTAAAATGTACTCTTGCTACTGATGGAAAGTGTTTGTCGCCTCCCAGAGCAGCGTTCATCCCATTGATGAGTACCGTGTTGTCTCCCCATCGCCACTGGCAGCGGTAGGTTGACAAAAAGTCAATCCACGACGTCCGGCTCTATGTTAGCTACAATGCAGGCGTGGCTTATAAATTGATCCCCGATCAGTAGTTCAAAACTGGCCCTCCCCCGGGCCTGCATTGGACTTCCATCTGCCTGTCTCAAGGTCGGAGGTGGAGGTTGGAGGTCTGGCCTCCCAGATCCAGGTAACCCGTCATAGATCCGTTCGGATATCAGGCTCACCGTTGCCCCCTAGTCCAGCAGAAAGGAAACAGGCATCGACGCAACCATTCCCGAGACGTAGTTTTCTCTGGGCAACGCACTCGCGGTCGCCTTGTCCTTTGGTGTCCTCCACCGGAATTAAGGTGTGTCGATTTGGTTTCAGTCTGTCCTCTCCTCTGGTTGTTATTGAATTCCCGCTTCCTTTGCGGACAGCCTCGCTGAATGTGGCCAAGCTCGTGGCAACTAAAGCACTCCACCATCGATCGGTCGGGTGTTCTGCGCACGTAACCCGCATTCTGGCTGCTCGTAGATCGTCTCCGGTTTTGGTTGGGTTGGCTGCACCACAGACCTAACATCTCTAACCCCTTGTTTCACTTTTTGTTGTGTACCTAAGAATCCAGAAATGCATTCATCTCGGTCGCAAGGGTGATTGCCTCTTCTAGAGTCGTTGCTCTTCTCGAAAACACATGGCGTTGCAATTGCTTGTCACCTAAGGCATTGCGGAAAGCCTCCACCGCCAAGTCCTCCTGAGCCGATGTGGGCAACTTCGGGCAGCTCTTTGAGACCAACCGCCGGTTGGACTGTCCGAGGCTGCTATTGACTCATACCGACCTCCGGTGTGCATCGACAGCTGAGCCCGATGCAACGGAATTTGGGCCGTGACAACGAATCGTTGTTCGAAATACTCCAGGATGGTTGAGTACTCCGTGCCTCCGGTACCATGTCAGCCAGGGCCTCTTGGGCTGAGTCTTTAAGGTAAAAAGCCAGGAACATTGTTTTCTCTGCCTCGCTCCACTGGTTTACCATTGCAACGCTCTCGAAATGTTTCAGGTTATTTGCCCACGAAGAAACACCGTAAAAACCAATCTGGGAGTACCATTGGTCTCCGGCCAATTGAAGGAGTCTTCAGTTTGCCATGTCTCGTTGCCGCAGGTGGGACTATGGAGTCACCAGTCTGAATTGCCGTGAATGCGTCCGCCCTTCCGATGTGTGTGCGGGGCCATGGTAGCTGCGTGCTCAGGGTGCAGTCTCCAAATGTCAGGCCTCGGTCCCAACTGCCTTAGCTGGTTTAGGGTTGTTTCACAGGCACCACTTCACAGGGTTGTGCAGCGCAGAGCCGGTCTACAGGCTCCGCACCATGGGGTTGTGCAGTCTGCCCCACAAGGTTGTGCAGTGTGGAGTCGATCCACGGGCTCCAGTCCATAGGGTTCTGCAGTGCGGAGCCGCTCCATAGGCTCCGCACCATATCGTTGTGAAGTGCGGAGCTGCTCCACGGGCCCCACACCATAGGCTTGTGCAGTTCGGAGCCACAGCACGGGCTCCGCCCCATTTAATGTCCGTTGGGTGATTGTCTGTTATACGGGGCTGTTCCGAGGAAAACATGCATCTGGTGTATTGATGTGTGTAGAACAGAGCTGTTGGGAGGGGGGGGGGAATTAATATGCGTGCGTTGTATGGATGTGCGCGGAACGGAGCTGTTCCGGAAGGAAACGTGCGTCCGGTGTATGGATATGCGTGTGTGAAGGGGTCTGCTCATTAGCTTTCCAGTCGGTTCGTTGGGAACCCACTGGCCCCTATGAACAGGTGTAAAAGTCATATTCCCTTAAGCCCCGCTGACTGAATCCTTTGTGCCAGACTAGTCCGGCCTAACCCTGCGATAGATTCTGGTTCTAACATTCTAACAGTATCCCTTTGTCCACCGGAACTCCCACCCGGACTTTCACCAAAAAACGACAACAATTCATCAACCGTGGTAAACGCACTACTGTTCGAGAAGTTAGGCTGGCCTCCTTTCCGGGACCCACTGTTACCGCTGCATGGCGAGTCGGGTGCCACGCTACCCTGGCCTCGTGAAAACATGTTCCCAGAAAGATTTAATTTGTTTTACCCTTACCTCTGCTCTATGTTGTGCCACCGCTGCCACCAATGTAACAATCCGAATCCGGGATTCGTTTCACAACTGTAGTCAAGAATCACATGGTAAAGTATGTCTTTCTAGCTGTATTTCTGTACTTTTTATTGACAACTCTGTCATACATCACCACAACAACAAAACGCATCGAAAACGTCTCTCCGGACAAACGGGTGTCCAAGTTTTCCAGAAGAGTGCCGCCATCGATCGTGGAGCCGTGCTAGCACTCCCTGCCGGCTGACCGGGACCGCCGTTACAATATCAAAGGAAAACCAAGACTCGTTCAATTTTTCACATAGGAAAAGTAGTTCTAAAATGTCAAAGTAAAGGATAAGTTGTTTAATTCAGACACTTTTTATGTAATTTGATCTGGTAACATGCTATCCTGGAATATTATTAGTCATTTTATAATAATATTAATATATAATACCCTGATCCTTCCCTATCTGAACTACTGTAACATCGTTTGGGCACGCACATCTACAAATAAACTCCATTCTTTAATCAAAGTCCAGAAAATATATTCGCATATGCACCCTGTCTCTCCCAGGTGACCACACTGCACCTTTGTTCACCAAATTACGCACACTAACACTCATCGATATTAATAAACTTCAAATAGGTATCCTAATTGGTGGTGATGACTTCGTAGTGAGCAGACGTGTTTTGCAAGAGCTCTGCTCGTCCTAAGTTCTATGTTCTAAAGCGTGGCATACTGGCATCACGACTTCAACCAATCTGATGCTTGGGAGGAGTCTGCATTGAGGTGAACTCTCTTATAACACTACTTAGTAATTGCAGACCCAAAGGCATAAAGATTCGGTTATATTTGGCCGTTCCTGTTACGTCAACTACACCATGCCTCCGAAGAAGCAGTCGTCTCACGAGGTCCTTACAATTGACCCTACAATCCTGTCCGCCGCCCTCGTTGAGGCATTTAAATCCAAGAGTCTAATTGATGCCCTCGTTCCAGCACTGACGGAAGCTATAACAGACGCCGTTAGTAAGAACATGCATGAAGCTATGCAGCTAGAATTCGTCAAGAGGGATGAAAAAATCAACCAACTCAATTCGAAAGTCCGCCATCTTGAGCATCGCCTGGACGACTTTGAACAATACTCAAGGCGCAACTCATTACTTGTGTACGGCATTCCTGAGGAGGGACAAGAGAACACGGACAAAAAGATAATTGAAGCGGCAAAACAGTACGTTAATGTCGACATACCAGCCACCGCCATCGACCGCACCCATCGCCTCGGCGCAAAGACGGACCGGACTGGGGAACCACGTACGCGGCCAATTATCGTCAAGTTTAACAGCTATAACATCCGGGCAGTCTTTTACCGTGCGAGAGCTGGTTTCAAGGGAAAGAACATTTTTGTCCGCGAAAGCTTGACCCCTGAAAGGCAGCGATGGCTGAAACAGGCAAGAAACCACCCCTCGTCCGTGAAGGCCTGGACCCAGGATGGCAGAATTGAAGTCAAGATGAAGAATAACGCTAAGCTGATCATAAACAGCGAGAACGACCTCAAGAAACTTCCATAAGCCACAGGACTGACGGTCACTGCCACTGATAACTCCATAATGGAGGAGTTACATTTGTATTTCATGCCTTAAGATTTGAGAGGTTGGTATTGTGACACCCAAAATATTTAGCTTTCTTATCATTGTTGATACTACATGTAATGATTTCCCCCCTTGGAAGGAACAAACCAGCCTCTGCGTGTTTTGAAATATCTTGCTTTTTAGGTATTGCCTTTACAAATTATTTTGCGGAGGCTCTTCTTTGTAATGACAAGTTATTTCACAATTAGTCACGTCCCTATTAAGTCATCTACCCATTGTTGTGTCTTATCGTTGTGTGTGCATGTTGCGTCTTGTTATTGCTATGTGTTTGTGTAGCAGTGAGACTCGGATATACATGTTTGTCAAATTCATTTTTATACCTACCTTGTTGAATGGTTTCATTGATGGGTGATAATACACCAGTAGTTGACCCTAACTTAGATCCTGATATTAACTTAGATGTTCCTGATATTGCTTGTGAGTGCTATGATCAAGACCAGTTCTTGGATAATTTTTCTGGAGCAGATTATTTTAAATGTCTGCATATTAATGCTCGTAGCTTGGCCAGCAGCATCGCTGATATTCAGCAGTATCTTATTCCTGGGTGATGATTTTTCTATTATTGGTGTTTCTGAAACATGGTTGAAAGATATTGATGATCCCTTGGTTAAACTCAATGGTTATGCCATGAAAGGTTTTTGTAGACAACACAAACGGGGAGGAGGCGTGGCATTTTACATAAAAATGATCTCACCTATAAGACACGCCAAGATATTTGTCCTAATACTGAAGACTTTGAGTTTTGTTTTGTTGAAATTGAAAATTCTACATCAGGTAAATCATAGTTGGAATTGTGTATAAACCCCCAGATGTTTCTTGTTCTAATTTTTCTGATTCCTTTAATGATACACTAGCCCAAGTACAAAACGACAAGAAACGGGTGTACATTATGGGTGATTTTAACATTAATTTATTGCTTCAGGATACAAGTAGTAGTGTTACAGATTGTATTAATACATTGTCATCCTATTCTTTTTTCCCGCTTATCAACAAACCTACTAGAATTACTCCCGATAGTGCAACGCTCCTCGATAATATTTTTACTAATGAGTTTTCAGATCACAAAACTGGTATTTTACTTACTGATATAAGTGATCATCTTCCCGTATTTGCAGTTGTAAATAATTACTCCAGAAATACCTCATCTAATTTGAATACGTCCAGACGTGATTTCAGCGACACTAATATTCAGCATTTTATTCAAGATCTTTTGGATAATAATTGGGATTTCATCACTAATTTTGACAGTGTCAGTGATTCTTATTCACATTTTCTAGAGTATGTTCTTCATTTTTATAACAAGCATTTTCCTGTGAAAGAAATTAATACTCGCTTCGATAGGAACAAGTTACCTTGGTTAACTGAAGGAATTTATAATTGCATTAGAAGGAAAAACTACCTGTACAGAAATATCTTGACAACCCCACAGATCATACCAAGCATGTGTACACTCAGTATAAAAATATCCTTACTGGTTTGATAAAACGTGCTAAGAAGAATTATTTGCACCACACATTTAATAGTGAAAGGAATAATATCAAAGGCACCTGGAGACTTATTAATTCTTCATTGAATAAATCTTAGTCCAACATTAATCCATCTTATTTTGTGCATAATGGTGAAAATATTGATGTTGCATACAGTATTGCTAACCATTTTAACGATTACTTTGTAAACATTGGAAACAGGATAACCAGCAACCTTCCATTGTCTGATCGTTCTTATCATTCCTTTCTTGGAGACAGGTGTTCTCATTCTATATTTTTGAATCCTGTTACGCAAGCAGAAATTGTGAATGTGATTAACAAACGCCCTAATGGTAAAGCCCCAGGCTGGGATGGTTTGAGTTCCTTTGTTGTTAAAACGGCCAGGAATGCTTTAGCTATACCACTTGCTCTGCTCTTTAATCAGTCAATTTCTAAGGGAGTCTTTCCTGACGAATTGAAAATTGGTAAAGTGGTCCCCATACACAAAGGCGGTAGTAGACACGAGTTCACTAATTATAGACCTATTTCTATTTTACCTGTTTTTTTTCCAAATTATTTGAAAAACTGGTGTTCAGTCGCATGATTGCATTTATTAATAAGTATGGCCTATTGTCTCAATCTCAATACGGCTTTAGAGCAAACACTCTACAGAGTTGGCTATACTTGATGTGTTAAGTAAAATCATCGATGCCTTTGAGAACAAGCAGTTTTCTGTCGGTATTTTCCTGGACCTGTCCAAGGCCTTCGACACTGTTAACCATGACATCTTTTTAAATAAATTGGAGCATTTTGGTGTCCGAGGGTTGGCCTTGGACTGGTTCAGAAGTAATGTATCAAATAGAAGACAGTTTGTTTTTTATAATTTACATCACTCTTTAGAACAGTCCATCACTTGTGGAGTCCCTCAAGGAAGTGTGTTAGGTCCATTACTATTTATTATTTATATCAATGATATTTTGTAGATCTTCTAATGTCATGTCTTTCTGTTTATTTGCAGATGGTACTAATTTAATTTACAATCACCATAATGTGGATACAGCCATCCAAACTGTTAATGTTGAACTTGTTAAAATAAGTAGATGGCTCATTTCGAACAAATTATCAATTAATTTGCTTAAGACTAATTACATTATTTTTTGTCCACGCCAACATAAATATCAGGCCACAGTTTCTCTTGATGGTACTGTACTCAATCAAGTCAAGACTACTACATTTCTTGGACTTTGTATAGACGAAAATCTCACTTGGAATCGCCACATTGATGTTTTATGTAGTAAAATTTCTAAAAATGTTGGGGTTATGAATCGTCTGAAGAATTTTGTACCTAAAAATATTCTTTTAACATTATATAATTCCTTTATTCTTTCATACTTAAATTATGGCCTACTTTCTTTTGGGGGATCTTCAACTGTACATGGCTCCAACAAAATTTTTTAAGTTGCAGAAGAAAGCTGTTCGTATTGTAAATAATGCAGGTTACCTTGATCATACCACTCCTCTATTTGCCAAACTTAATATTCTGAAACTGAATGATCTCTACCACCACCGACTGGGTATACTTATGTTTAAATATACTCACAACATGCTCCCTCCAATTTTTAATCATCTATTCTCATTTACTTCTTCTGTTCATTCATATGAAACACGTAGTTCATCGAAAGGTGATCTGTTTGTGAGAAAAAATAGAACTTCCTTTTTTAGAAACAGTCCATTTCAACGTGGTGTCATTTCCTGGAATGAACTCAACATTGGTTTAAAAGAGTGTACTACTGTGGTTTCATTTGCTAAAAAATAGAAAAAATCGATCATCAATACTTATACTTTTACTTAAAAACATTTTCTTCTCTGATTTGCTTAGTCATTATTTTACATATTGTACCGGGTCTCACTCTTAAACCTATTATAAATTTACCAATAATCTCTTTCCCTGCAAATTCTGATCGTACTTTACCTCCAATATCACACCAGATCTCACAAAAACCTGTATATACCATTCACTCGCACTTCCTACTCGATGAACACCCTACGCTTCTGTGGACCTCGTCTCTGGAATGGAGCTTGACCCACTTATTAAATCTCAATCTGCTCCTCCACCTCCTCCTCCTCCTCCTCCTCCTCCTCCTTCTTCTTCTTCTTCTTCTTCTTCTTCTTCTTCTTCTTCGTCTTCCTCTTCTTCCTCTTGCTTTGCTTTTTACTTATCTTGTCATCTCTGCCGCTGCCCCTCTATTGTTCAATAACCCTCTGTACTAACTACGTCACGCAATGTTTACCGCTGCATTGTGGGATTGAGTGGGGGTCGCCGCACCGCGATCATTATAGAAAACATATAGTATTGTGTCTTTTGGGTCTGATTTTTTTTATTGCTGGGGAAAAAATGCTCTAGCAAGGCGAAAATCAAACTGCGTCATGTTAGGCAAAAAAAAAATTGTCGGTCTCTGGTCAGCGCGCGCGTCGATTTTAATCATGCGTGTCAACCTTTTTTTTCCTAATATTGTCCGCGGTAGCTACAACAGCGCCCTCTATTGCCGAACCTCAAATTTTTGTACCACAGAATTGAGAAATTGCACCAAGGCAAATCATGGAATGCACAAAGGCAAATTATGGAGGACACCAATGTGTATGAGGATACAAAAAAAGCAAAGAAAAATTTCCACCTTGTCTGTACAATCTAAGCTTGAAAAAAAAAGCCAAAAAAAAAAAAAAAAAACGCGTTGCCGCATCAATTCCAGAACTTTGGTCTGACCAGAGACCGATTATTTTATTTTTGTTTGCCTTAGGGGCCGTGCCATGTTAGGGTAGGCCCTACATCAACAACTTGCGTTAAAGTGGTTACGTCATACACCGCTGAGGCCATGCCTTGCCGAGGTTACGCGTTCCACACAAACCGGGCCTTACATGTAAATGTAGATGTAGCGGTGCCCACAAAATAACGGCATCGTTAAGTAACGTATGCAGTTATTTTTTTTTTTCAACGGATAAAAAACAATGATGAAAAAGTGACCACCGTGCTATAAGGCAAGATTTGTGTGGAACGCGTGAACTCAGCAAGGCGTGACATCAACGGTGTACGACGTAACAACTTTTAGACGCGTTTTATTGATGTACCCTAACATGGCACGGCCCCTAACATGGTGCAATTTGATGTTTGCCCCTGGGACCGAGTTGACTTGGGACCGAGTTGACTTGGTAATGAGTTGACTCGAACTGACTTGGATTGGGACCGAGTTAGGGGTCAACTCGGTTCCAGGTCAACTCAGGTGCGAAACAAACAAGGTAGTGAAAAATTCTGCAATTTACGTGATTTGTCTTTTTTTTTGTGTATCATGTATTTTCCGTGGTTAACCTTTTAATGTGCTTATTTGTTTTAATTATTGATTTTGAGGTTGTTCTGATTGTAGCGCTCTTACTTGAAGCAGCCTGTTTCCCCGAAGCGGCTGCCGCAGCAAGTCGCTCTTTGCCCGCTGTACTGTAGCGCCACATACACAGTCGCGCGCGCAGTATACGCGTAGTACCGTGCGATATA